TTGTTAAAATTGCTGCATTATACTAGGGTTTGGCCTGAGGTTGGGTCCTGTCTAACTGGTTTTTTTGTTTGTTTGGTTTTTTGTTTTGTTTTCCCCTTCTTTAATCAGGGGCTTTGTGAGTCTTGTTGAGGACACCTTAAGAATGGCACCAAGACCTCACCAAACCCTAATGTTGCCTAGTCTCAGATCTCTGTTTTGGGGGCAGGAGATGTGGGTAGGGCTAGAGTTCCTTTTCTCAGCCTCCTGAGCTCTAAGTAGAGCAGTTTTCTGCTTTTGTTTCCCCCCAGAACCCCCCCCCCCACAGCAGCTTGGGATCCACTCACCAAGCTGTTTTGTCTCACTTTATATCCAGGGCTTTGTCTGGGCTGTTGTGTTGCAAAGGACTGCAACACATCTGAGGCTGCTGGGACAAATATCAGTAACACTTCTTGCTTCTCTGGTTCTGAGCTGCAGCCTTTTCCCACTATTTGGTTTCCTCTCCGTAGCTGAATTGTCTCAGTTTATCTCCATGGTTGTAGCAGGGCTGGGACAAAAGGCTGCCAAGCAGCAGTAGCTGCTGCCAAAGGCAGTTTCCCTCTGCAGAGCTGCCTGGCGTCTGGGTGCCTAGATTTTTAAAGAAGCCGAAGTAGTAGGAAGCCCCTGGCTTTCCCCGATCAGAGTTGCAGGGTTCAACTAATCCTGCCTGTGTGGCTTCCCTTATGGGAACTCTCCAATTGCAGGTTCTCCCTCGTTATTTTATTTCTAGTGATTCCAGGGCATTCTCCTTTGGGTTGAAACTCATAGCATGTAAGTGTATACTCCATTTTTATATCCCGTGCAAGTTCGGATGTAGTCGTCTCGGCCTCTTTATTCTGCTGCCATCTTGCAGGTTCCCGAGCTGGTTGAGCTGATCAGCAGCTTCTCGTGGAGCCCAGGTGCTCCTGATGGAGTCTACAGTTTCAGAGGTTTTTCCCTTACCCAGGTGTTGAGTATCAGATTTGCAGTCTTTCGCAGCCTGTGCCCCACTCACTGAGCTGAGCCATCCCCCTTCACCTACAGGGTTTAGCCTGGGGCAAAGCAGTTCCTGCAGCCCACTGAACTTCCAGGTGCCTGGGTTTTCCCGAGAGTTCCCAGAAGGGAACTCCCCAATCGCTGATTCCCGTTCAGTTATCTACCTTTTAGTGAGTCCAGGGTGTTTTCTTTTGGGTTGAAACTTGCAGTAAGTAAGTCTATAGTCTGTTTTCAGTCCTCAATTCCTATGCCAGCCTGGACGCAGTGATCTCGGCATCTTTACCCTGCCGCCATCTTCCGGAAGTCCCTAGTTTCATTTTTTTTTTTTTTTTGCATGTAGCTTCCCAGTTTTCACAGCACCATTTGCTGAACAAACTTTCTTTGTTCCATTATATCTTCTTTGATCTTTTGTCAAAGATTAGCTGTCCAAAAACCTGTGGATTTATAACTGGGTTTTCTATTTGAATCCACTGGTCTGTATGTCTGTTCTTGTTCCAGTACCATACAGATTTGATTATTATGGCTTTGTAGTATTGTTTCAAGTTTGGGATTGTAATGCCTCCATTTTCTTTCTTCTTGGTCATGACAGTATTGGCTATTCGAGGTATTTTGTTCCATATGAATCTCATCAATATTTTTTTCTATTTCTTTGAAGAATGTCATTGAGATTTTTATTGGGATGCCATTAAATCTATATGCCGCTTTTGGAGGGATGGCCATTTTGATGACATTAACTCTCCCAATCCATAACAGGGGATGTCTTTCCATTTCATGGTGTCTTCTTGTATTTCTTTTAACAGTGCTTTGTAATTTTCTTTGTATATGTCTTTTACCCCTTTTGTTAGATTGATTCCCAGGTATTTGATTCATTTTGTTTTAATTGAAAAGGGTTTTTTTTTATTTATTTCTGCTTCTTCTGATTTGTTATTTGTGTATAGGAAGGCCTCTGATTTTTGTGTGTTGATTTTGTATCCTGCTACATTGCTAAATAGGTTGACGGTTTTGATTGGATTCTTTGTGGAGTTTTTAGGGTTTTCAATGTAAATTTACATATTGATTGTAATTGGCCTGTTTAGCTGTTCTATTTCTTCTTTATCTAGCTTTAGGGGTGGTTGTAGAGTTGTAGGAATTTGTCCATTTCTGCTAAATTGTTGAACTTGTTTGCATATAGTTGTTCATAGTATTCTCTAATTTTTCTTTTAATTTCTGATGGATCTGTTGAGATTTCTCCTCTTAAATTTATGATTCTGTTTATTTGTGCATTCTTTTGTTTTTTCTTTGTGAGTCTGGCTAGTGGCCTGTCTACCTTATTTGTTTATTCAAAGAATCACCTTTTGGTTTCTTTAATTTTTTGGACTGTTTTCCTAACTTGCATCTCATTCATTTCTGATTTGACTTTTTTTTTTATTTCCTGTCTTCTAGTGGCCTTTGTGTTATTTTGTTGTTCTTTTTACAGTTCTTTAGGTGGGACACTAGGTTGTTTCTTTTCTTTGAGTTTTTTCTTGTTTCTTTACGTGAGCCTTATTGCTATATATTTTCCTGTTACAACTGCTTTTAATGTGTCCCATCAGTTTTGCAGATGTGTGTCGTCATTGTCATTCTTCTCAAGGTATTTTTAAATTTCTTCTTTAATGTCCTCATTGATCCAATGGTCCTCCGGCAGTGTGGGTTTAGTCTCCACGTGGTAGGTGGGTTTCTTGCCTTCTTCATATGGTTTATTTCTAGTTTGATTCCTTCATGGTCAGAGAAAATAGTTGGCATGATTGGGATCTTAGTGTATCTATTGATATTTATCTTGTGACCCAGTATGTGGTCAATCCTAGAGAATGATCCATGTGGATTTGAGAAAGACATGTACTCAGATTTTCTGGGATGCAGTATTCTATAGATGTCTGTTAGACCCATGTTGTCCAGGTCCTTATTCTGAGCTTTAGTGTCTTTGCTTATTTTTTGTCTTGTTGATCTGTCCATTGTGAGAGTTCTGTGTTGAAGTCTCCTACTATGTATGTATTTTCTCTGACATAGATAGTGGAGTCCACAAAACTCTGCAGAGTTCCTTTAGGACATCCTTTCCCTTAACACTATGTGTCACCATTAGAAGATGCCTTAGATTGTGGCAAGTTTTGGGGCCTTAGTAGCCTTGCTTTTCATAACGCTGTTTGGCTGGCACTTACACATGAAGAATTGGGTAAATTTTGGCACTTGATTTGTAAACTATATATTTTCCCTTTTCTTCTTGCTATAGAATACTAATTGTATTAAAGTCTCTCTCCATTTAAGATGTGCATGAGTGTATTTTTTGACTTAATGCAGAGGGTAGCAGAACCTATTCAGAGAAGGTAGTTTTTGGGGTCCCAGGTCTTCCTGCCCTGTAACAGAAGTAGGGTGAGTGCTGGTCACTATTGAGTGCTGAAGCAGAGTAAAATTGTTTGGAGTCAGGGAATTCAGTAGCCTGTGGACTGTAGGTGTTCAGCAAAAGCCCATCAGACATTTGTACACCCAAATGGAAAAAGAATTCTGCTTGAGAACAAATGACAAATTTGGGTACTGAAAGTTTCTTCACAGAACTGCTGTTAAGGGCTATCACTTCGATGGATTTAACTTTGGGCAAATGATTAAACCCCATCAAGAACCCTTTTTGTAGTGGAAAATAAAGTATGTAAAGGGACTTCCTCATGGAGTGAATGTTCTTAAAATCAAATCAAAGACAGCCTATTTAATTCTAAAGTCAAATTATAGTGATTAAAATGGTATATGTCATATATAATTGATAAACACTGTAATTAAGGACTACATTATAGTATTAACATGAAAGTAGTATGAAGCTCCTAATAATTTTAGCAAAGGATGAAGAAGCTTATGATTTCAGTACCATCTTCTGTTATTACAACATCTCAGCTTGATTCCCTGCTGTGAAGGATAATAACAACTGTTGAGCTACCAGGAGTTATATTCCCAGCACAAGCCAATGCTCTGAAGATATGAGGAATCTAATACAGACCAATTCCTCAGACTTGCACTTTGTTGGAAAATTTAAATCTGAAATCAGATAATGTACTATATTTTTAGACAAAAGGAGGCAAGTTCATAGAAGAGTGAAAACATAGAATTAATTTGATTTCAAATCTAAACTCTTGGGAACAGGGAAACCTTCCAGTGTTGTCCAGAACGTTCTCCAAGGAGAATTGTGTGCAAAGAAGTTGGACTAACAAGGAAATGTGACTAATGAGCAGCTATAGAGAGTGTAAACACATAAAATGACTGTGAGCATATATAACTTTGGGCTGAAAGGAGCATGCTTTAGTTGTGTGTGTGTGTGTGTGTGTGTGTGTGAAGTCCTATTTGACTTGGTGGTTAAGGGGCAGATGGTTCACTCCTGCCTACTTCATCTGGGTATAGAGCTCAGATCTCTATCACTTCCATACAATAAGAAATTCAGATATCCACATAAGATCCTCCCAGTTCAGGTGAGCCCAGCAACCCAGTAGGTCAGGGACCGGCACCAACAACAGGCTTTTGAGGGCAGAGCAGATAGGGCCTTATTAGGTGGGAGCAGCATCAGCGTGTAGAGATTCCAAGAATGGGGAGAGAAGAGCGGGTGTGGGAGAGACACTGGAGTTGGAGTTGGTGCAAGTCTTCCTGTTCATTTTCTCAGCAGGTCTTTATTTATACTGTGTAGCAAGCAGTTAATGCAACAATGCATCAGGTAAGTTAATAAGAAATTAGCATAAAAGTTTTCAAAGAAAAGGGGGAAAATGCATCCTTTTCCTGACATTTATGGCATATTAGATTATACATCTTTGTGATAACTATCATGTAATGTATGTTTAACTATGACTTCAAAGGATAAGGGGTCTGGGAAAGGATGAGCTGTTAGCAAAGGATTTAGGGATCCTCGGGAAAGAATAAATTGTGTTAGCAGTGTTATTAGTGATTGTCTAAAAAGAAGCTAAGGACTAACTTAAGGCTAGCAGAGAGTCGTTAGTGTTTCAGAAAAAGTTTAATTAAGACTAATGGAGAATAGTTAGTGATTGTTTAAGAAAAGGGTAAATTAACAGGAAGTCACATAGCTATGCATTAAGCAAAACCTATGCTGATAATGTTAAAAAAAACTGTCCATGAGTCCTTATGCCCTGAGAGTTTTATCAGAGGTTTGCTTTTTTAAAAAAATCAAGGAAGCTTCCCAGGAGTCTTGATGTTCTGGGGGGTCTTATTTCTCCTGCTTGCCTTTTGTCTCCAGACACAGAGGAATTTCCTACCCTAGAACGAGTCATACTTTGCCCCAGCCAGGTAGCCAATTTATGAAGCTAAGGCAATCCAGTTGCAAACTGATCGTTGCTCAGAATATTTTTGATATTATGATTATACAAAACAAGGGAGGTCATAACATAAATTAACAGTGGAGATTCTGATTTTTCAGATTTTTTCCCTTCCATTCAGAATTTGTTGGTCAACAGAAGCTGCATAGCTTGTGTCACCAATTGAATCTCAGGAGAGAAAAATGATGCCAAGAACACCTACCTGCTGTCATTTGAGAGACGATTTTTAACAGTGGAGATTCTGATTTTTCAGATTTTTTCCCTTCCATTCAGAATTTGTTGGTCAACAGAAGCTGCATAGCTTGTGTCACCAATTGAATCTCAGGAGAGAAAAATGATGCCAAGAACACCTACCTGCTGTCATTTGAGAGACGATTTACCTTTACCCAAAGGCAAGCCATCATTGTGTGTGTTTGTTTGTTTATTCAGTAAATAACTAATGCAATTTGTTCAATGGCTGTGTAATATGTCAATGTTAAATACAATGTTTCTTATTTTTAATATCATTAAATTATTTTCAGTAAATTGTTATTATGAAAGGCTCATACTATCTGTGGAGATTTAGTTCAAAGTTAGGTTCTAAGTGGGCAATTTTGTCCCCCAGGGACACTGAGTAAAGTCCACAGACATTACAGACTCACAGTGAGGGGCAAGAAGAAACCAGGATGCTCCAAACATCTTACAATGCACAGGACAGACTTCACCACAGAGAATAATCAGGCCTAATCTCACTCGTGCTGATATGCAGAAACACGGCCCACTTTCTCTTTGGTGTACAGTATTTAAGATATTTATAAGTAGATCATAAAACTAGCACTTTTTCTGACGGGCAAAAATTTGTCTTTATTCTTTTATCATTTTTGTTGGACATCAAGGAAATATAATCAGGGCTGAGAAGGCCACTGAGCCCCACGTCTGAGGGACCATCTAGCCTCTTAAATCTTTTTTACTCTTTAGTCAATTCTTTTCACTTCTATTCTCCATTTCCTTTTCTTTCCTATAGCCTCCTCTTCCACCTCATGCTTCTCCTTCTCCCCATTCAGTAGTATGCCTTTTTATTTTACTGATACTGTCTTTTGCTGTACAGATGGCTACACAGCTTTTAGCTTGAGTATTTGAAGAAAGCATCTTCTCCAGGCACTTTGCACTGGCGCTTTTTCTTTTGGGCACACATGATTCCACGTAGCCTTAAGTCTTCCTTCTCTCCCTGACCTGACATCTTTGTGATGCAAATTTGGCATGTCTATAGGTCTCCAGGTCTTATCTAAATACCCATGGAAATGTAATACCCTATTCATGTTTACATATATATATATTTTTTTTAATTTAAAGATTTTTATTTATTTATGCATTCAGAATGGGGGCACAGGCCAGAGGTGCAGGGATGGTGAGAGGATTCACCAGAGAGAGATTAGGGAGCAGAACAGGTTGCCTGATGAAGTAAATGCTGAGGGGAGCAGCGGGCGGGTCAGGAGAGGTCTGCCACACCATGTGGCCACCTCTGAGGTAGGGATCAAACTCATGCTCAAGTGGATTTAGCTTCTTAGTGATGTGCTTTAACCCTCTGACCCACCAGGGAGAGCCCTCATGTTATATTTTTAATTGGATTTGTTTTCTTGATCCCAACAGTCAGCATCTAAAATGTTACATAATTTTATTGTTTGTACATGTATTTCTTCTCCACCATTGACTTGTAATTTCGTATTACAGTGCCCTAAGTCATTGCCGATAAAATGCCTAAATCACTCTTAAAGAGTGATTCCTGACTCAAAGAATTTATTTTTACAATGCTCTAACACATGGTCCTACAGATAAAAATTATTAGTTGGGCAAAAATTTGCATCAGAGGTGTCACTGAGGATCCACTGAAGGAAAATACACAATTATATGATTAACTTCTTAGAAGTTATGTTGTTAACTTCTTATAACTAACTTCTTAGATAAATGTAAATGGAGGCTTTTCATTAATATGAAATAAGTAAGATAGTGATTAAGTTTTTGAAAATAAGTCTTGTTATTTTCCTTTATCCTACAAGTCACCAGTTCTACGTGAAACCAGATAATGATACACAAATTTCTGAATTTCTTCTGCTGAGATTTTCAGAAGAAGCAGAAGAGCAGCCCCTCATATTAGGGCTTTTCCTCGCCATGTACCTGATCACTGTGTTTGGAAACCTGCTCATCATCCTGGCTGTCAGCTCAGACTCCCACCTCCACACGCCCATGTACTTCTTCCTCTCCAACCTGTCTTTTGCTGACATCTGTTTCACCTCCACCACTGTTCCAGAGATGCTGGTAACCATTCAGGCACAGAACAAAGTCATTACCTATAAAGGTTGTATCTTCCAGGTTTATTTTTTCATACTGTTTGGAGGGTTGGACAACTTTCTCCTTATTGTGATGGCCTATGACCGCTTTGTGGCCATCTGCCACCCCCTGCACTACACGGTCATCATGAACCCTCAGCTGTGTGGACTGCTGGTTCTGGTTTCCTGGATCATCAGTTCTCTGTATTCGTTAATGCAAAGCTTAATGTTGTTGCGCCTGTCCTTCTGTAGAAATGTGGAAATTCCACACTTTTTCTGTGAACTCAACCAGGTGGTCAAATTGTCCTGTTCTGACACCTTTCTCAACTACGTGATCATTTACTTTGATTCTTTCTTACTGGGTATTGGTTCCCTCCTTGTTATTCTTTACTCTTACTCTAAGATAGTTTCCTCCATCCGTAGAATCTCATCAGCTCAGGGCAAGTATAAGGCATTTTCCACCTGTGCATCTCACCTTTCAGTTGTCTCCTTATTTTACTGCACAGCTCTGGGAGTGTACCTTAGCTCAGCTGCTTCCCACAGCTCACGTTCAAGTACAATCGCCTCGGTGATGTACACTGTGGTCACACCCATGCTGAACCCCGTCATCTACAGTCTGAGGAACAAAGACATAAAGAAGGCCCTGAAAATATTCATTGTAAGGAAAACTACAGAAAGATAATTGTCCCAGGGATGAAGAGGCACCCATAATTTTAGACATTGGAGACTAATAGTCAGAAATTGGACTTAATTGTTCAAAGAAGTGGAACTTGCTCTTTACATCATGGAAGTTCCTATTGATTTAAATTTCTCTATGTAAATCAATTTATTATACTTACCACTCTTTTTGTATTTAATAGTTTACCTTTGTGATTTTTCTACTTTCCCAAATTTATTTCAATCTTTACTCAAAAATTTAGATAGTCCCATTCACTTAATACTACAACATGGATTTTTTAGAATAATATCTTCCAATTAATATAACATATCAAATACTTTTTTTGTTTTAGTAAAAGTCATCAAGTTCTACTACTCCTATGGACAAACTATTTCTGTTGCCCAAGGGAGCTTATATAAATTTATAACAGAATGATAACAAAGCTCTTCAGTTTGGTATGTGTCATTCTGCTTACTACATTAACTGCCCTTCTGACAACAAAGATGTTGGCATAAGTGGGCTCCACAGCACAGTATATGCAAAACCTTCCTTAATACAAGTCAACATAACAATCACACAAAGGAGTCTTCACTGAGAAACACGTTTTAGTGACTATATTGAACTAATATGAACTTTGAATCACAGAATTTCTTCTATTTCAGCATGATGGGAAAAGTTAAATTATATTTATTTCAATGCAAACTGTTCTAATTTTGTGGAGTACATCTGCTTCAAAAGTCTGTGTGCAAGGGAGTTAATATAGATGGGAGTTGAAAATTTTGTTATTGAGTTATTGTCATGTCTCTGCTTGAATCCTTGCAACGCTGCTAATGTAAAGACAGCACTTTGCTCTAGAGAAACAACTCCTTCACTTTCATTTTTTCAAAGGGAAATAATGTGAGTTAATGCTATTCTCTTATCATAGTTTATCTATCTCCATTACACATGGGATTCTATTATCTTTTGTAATGAAAAGATGACTATGAGAGAACCTAAATTCCAGTCTGACAATGCAATCAGGGTCACCATTTTCTACAAAAAAAAAAAAAAAAAAAAAACACTACCTCTCCTAGTTACCTGGAATTAGCTGCAAACATTTTTTAAATACAGTTGTTTGAATTAAGTATAACAACAAATGCCAAGAAAAAACCCAAGCCAGCAGATTACCCTAACTCTCCTCACTTCTCTGCTGTGACTGTCGTAACATCTAGCTGCTACTGACAGGCCGCTCTACACATAAATGTTTAATGCTAGGCCTTCAGGTCTAGGAGGGAGGTGTGTTGAGCTTCCCTGTCCTTCCTGGGCTCTGCAGGCTCCACAGGAAGCTTCAGTCTCTACAACATGCTTCTGAGTCTCGCCCAGGGTGATGCCAGTGCCTGGGGGTCTCTCTCAGTAATCAATACTCAGTTCATCATATTTATGTGTCTACTTTCATCTTCTATTTTCAAAAATATGTATCAAGTGTGACTTTCTTTTATTTATTTCTGCAGTTCCCACATCTCATCTGATATTTCCTGTTGTTTCTAAGTAGAAGTAATAATTCCCATCTGTTCACTTTGCATCAGTCACCTATGCTGTGACTCTTACTCAGATCCAGGCATCTTAAACTTTTGAGTATTTATTAGAATATACATGGAAACTGTAAGTTGTACATATTTACAATGTACTTTTGATGAATAGAAAGAACCACACAAAGCTACAGTACTTGTTGTATGATTCCATTTGTGTCTAACTCAATAAAATATGTGGTAATGTTTAATGTTTTGTGACTTAGAAATGTATTCCCCAGAACCTTAATTTTCTTATTTTTGAAAGTAATATGGGATACAAAATATCACTTTAGATGAATGTTGCTGGTAATTAATGATACGTGTGGACTCATTTTGTTGAATACGAATAAATACTTATAGCTAAAGTTTTTTTTGCATGTGTATTTGTGTATTTATTTGTAAAAAGGTGTATTTTATATATGTGTACTAAACAGGCTCATATAATCTCATATTTTATGTTGAAAGGAAACTTGACAGAAAGTTGGAGAGGTTAGAAACAAAAACAATGTTTGGATTAGCATGTAATTGAAAGAAAATAGAATTTAGACACAAAGAGATAAAGGAAGTGATGGACATATATTTAATGATGGATTATTTTTTATCTTATTGTCATACAGATGTCAAATCCTTTTTTCCTTATTTGTATAAAGAATTTTTTGTTGTTGTTGAGTTAATATTGAATTATATCATGGCATTAGTCTTAGGGTATAAGTTTACACCTTAAAAAATGGCATTGCTATTTCAACATACTCATCATCTAAGTGCCAGGAATCTTCCCTTAGATTCCAAACTCCCCTTTGAAGCCAGCCCATCACCTCCCCCTTCTGGGAGTCTCACTCCTTGTTCAATGGGCTCTTTCCCCTCTCTTTCTCACCTCCCCCTCCTCCTCTCCTCTTAGATGCCCAGCTCTATGGTCAGCTTTTAAGGTTTTCTTTGTCTGACTTATTTGTCTCTCTATATTTTACATGTAAGTGGAAACATCTGATATATATTTTTCTCCTTCTGACTTATTTCTCATTTTGTACTCCCTTTGAGTTATATCTACATTGTCACATATGCCATGATTCTGTCTTTTTTAATCACCGAGTACTTATCTCCATCTGTTTTGGGACTTTGATATTGTTTCCATATATTGGTTATTGTAAATTTCCTACAATAGCCATAGGAGTTCAGGTTTGATTTAGTGCTTTTTATATTCCTTCAGTAGATTCCTAGGAGGAAAACTGCTAGGTCACAGGGTACATCCTATTTTATTTGAGGAATTTTAACACAACTTTCAGAGAGTGTGACCTGTCTGGATTCCACCAGCAGTTCCAGGGTTTCCCTTTTCTCCAACACCCTCTTCAACACTTGTTGATTTTAGTGATTTTTATCATGGTCATCTTCACAGGTGTGAGTGATTATCTCATTGTGATTTTGATGCTTATCCCTGATGTTGAGTGATGATGAATGACAAACATATATCCATGTCTACTGGCTAAGTGGCTGTTTTCTTGGGAGGAATGCCTGCATACATCTGTTTTATGATTGGGTTATTTGTTTAGTTATAATGTTTCTGAATATCATCAATATAAATCCCTGTTAGTTCTATGATGTGTAAATATTTTCTTCCATTCAGTAGGTTGACTCTTCATTTTTGGTAGTAACCAAAATGTTTTTTTGTGTTCTGCAGAAGACTTAATTGATGAAGTCCCAGTGTTTTGTATTCTCCTTTGTTTTCTCTGTTGCTTAAAATGTGTCCCCAAAGAGATTTCTGAAGCTTGTGTGTGACTGTTTTTCTTCTGTTTCTTTTACATGTGCTATGGTTTCAGAATTTACATCTAAGTCTTTCATCCATTAAGAGGTGATTTTCATGTATGGTATGAGACAGTGCTCTAATTTCATTCTTCAGCTTTTGGCTGTTCAGTTTTTCCATTACCATTTACTGAAGATACTGTTTCTTTTAGTACATATACCCCATTCATTTATTGTAGGTTAAATGTCCATAAATATGCAGTTTTATTTCTTGGCTCCGAGTTCTGTTCCAGTGCTTGATGTGTCTACTGTGTTCCAGGCTGCTCTGAGGTGCCTATTACAGTCCTGGAGCACATAAATATAACTGCCCCAAGTTTGTCAGTCTGCCAGCAATGGTCACTGCTGTGTCTACTCAAAATGGATAAAAGAACTAAACATAAAGCCTGAAACCATAAAACATATAGAAGAAAACATAGGTAAAACCCTACATGGCATGCATTGCAGCAACATCTTTAAAGACTCAACCCCCAAAGCAAAGAAAGTGAAGGAAAAATTTAAGAGATGGGATTACATAAAACTAAAAAGAGACATTAACTAAAACAAAGAGATACACTACCGATGTGGAAAAATTTTTGTACTTTATACAATTGATTAAAGACTTTTCACAAAGAATTCACACAACTCAAAAAAACAAAGGAAAAGTTCCAGTCAAAAAATGGGCAGCAGAATATAAAAGAAACTGCTCCAAAGAGGAAATGAAAATGGCCAACAGGCAGATGAAAAAATGTTATTATCAGGAAAATGCAAGTCAAAACCACAGATTTCTATTTACAACAGTAAGAATGGCACATATTAATAAAACTAGCAACATCAAATATTGGATATGATGGGGAAAAATTTCTCCTACTTTGCTGGTAGGAAAGCAAACTGTTTCAGCCACTATGGAAAGCTGTGTGGAGGTTTCTCAAAATACTAAAAATGGAGCTACCACATGACTCAGCAATTCCACTCCTAGCAATCTACCCAAAGGACTCAAAAACATTCATTCAAAAGGATACCTACACCATTATGTTTATCACTGCACTATTTTCAATAAGGAAGATGTGGAATCAACCCAAATGCCCCAGAATAGATGACTGGATCAAGAAGATGGCATACTACTTGGCAATCAAAAAAGATCAATGCATGCCATTTGCAGAAACATGGGTGAAGCTAGAAGGTATCATTGTCAGTGAAGTAAGTCATCAGGAAAAACTAAAATATTGGATAGTTTCATTTACAGAAGGAATATAGGGGAACTAATTGAGGGACGTGGGGAAAATTATAATAACAACAAACACAACAACAATAAAAAGACAAGTACAAATCAGAGGCATTCTGCAGGGCAGAGGGTGGGAAAGATATCAGGGCAAGGGTGGAGCAAATACAAGGATGCACACGTGAATCCGTGGTGGAAATTCTATGGGGACTACACATGAGAAAAGAAAGCAAACATTGTAAAACTCAATTAGTTAATTAATTAAAGATATTTGACCTATTTCTTTAAAAATGTCTTTCTGATTTTTATTGAAATTGCATTGCCTCTGTAAGTTTCTTTCTGTAGGGCGGCCATTTTGATAATATTAATTCCTCCAATCAATAAGCAGGGATGTCTTCCATTACTTTGTCTTTTTCTATTTCTTTTATCAATGTTATGTAATTTTCATTGTCTACTCTTTCACCTCCTTTGTTAGGTTTATTCCCAGGTATTGAAAATGTGTCAATACAACTGTAGATGGGATGATTTTCTTGATTGCTTCTTCATTTATATTGCTTGCATATAAGAAGGCTACAGAATTTTGTGTGTTGACTTGTAACCTTCCTCTTTACTAAGCTGTTTTATTGCACTTACTAGTTTCATTGTGGAGTTTTCAGGGTTCTCTCTATATATTATCATATCACCTGAAAATAATGATAGTTTTACTTCTTCTTTCCCTACTTGTTCTCCGTGTATGTACTTCTATTGTCTAGCTGCTCTACTTAGAACTTCCAGTATTATATTGAAAAGCAATGATGTTCTTGTTCCTGATAGTATCTTAAAGGGAATCCTTTCAATTTTCTCAACATTAAGAATAATATTGACTGTGGATTTTTTTGTATATGGCTCTTATTATGTTAAAGAGTTTTCTTTCTATCCCAAGAATTTCAAGGGCCTTTATCATAAATGGATGTTGGACTTTATCAATTTCTTTCTCAGCATCTATTCATATGATCATATGGTTTTTATTTTCCTTTTGGTGATGTGGTGAATTACACTAATTGACTTTCAGATGATGACACATCCTTGTGTCCTTGGAATAAACCCCACTTTGCCGTGTTGTATTATCCTTTTGATGCGTTGTTGGATTCGTTTTGCTAGGTGTTTTGTTGAGCATTTTTACATCTGTGTTCTATCGTTTTACCTTTGTTATCTCTTTGTATAGTTTTGGAAATAGTGTAATGTTGACTTCGTAAAAGGAATTTGGTCATATTCCTTCTTTCTCAAATTCTGAAAAAATTTTGTGGAATAAGCACTTTCAATATCTGGTAGAAACGATTTGTGAAATCATAAGGATGGGCATTATCTTTGGGGGGAGAATTTTGATTCTGTTTCAATTTCAATGCTTGCAATTGGCTTTCTCAGGTTTTCTATTTCTACTTTATTCAGCATTGAATGATGATATAGTTCTAAGAATGTGTTCATCTCATCTAGATTACTGAAATTGTTTCCATATAAATATAACCCTCTGGATTTCTTTTGTATCTTGTAATTTCTCCTCTCTCATTTATGATCCTATTTACTTGAGTTTTATTCCCCCCCACCTTTTTTTTTTTTGTGAGTGTGTCTAAAACTTTGCCTATATTGTTTATATTGTCAAACAATCAGCTTTTGGTTTCATTGATATTTTGGACTGTCTTTTTTTATTTCTATTTCATTTATTTCTGCGTCTATATTTATTAGTTTATTTCTTATACTGGCATTTTTTTTCAGGTTCTTCTAGATGAGAGTAGGTTGGCTTTGAGGGTTTGTTCTTGTTTTTTGATGTGGACCTTTTTGCTATATA